TTACTGACACTCGGATTTCGGGGTAACACAACTCCACAATATGTCTGATGAGATTATATATAGAGTCTTCTCTACCACCCTTAAAGGATCTACACGAAATGGTTCGTCAAAATCAAGCCTTCTTCCATCCACACTTTTGCTGAGTTAAGCAAATCTTTCATCTCACTTCATAGGGGGACGTCCCCACCAAAAGCCGATCATCCACCTACTCACCATTAAGAAGGATCGAGATGAAAGTTTAAGGAGTTACCTCACTTATTTTAACGAGGAGGAACTCCAGATCGAGGAGACAGACGACAAGGTGACTATGGCTCCCTTTATTACGGGTTTATGCTCCTTTAGTTTCATATTCTTTGTCCTAAAGAAGCTATCATCCAACATGTCCAAGCTACTGTTAAGGACACAAAAGTACATGAACGCCAAAGATATCACCAAAGTTGGATGAGGTGGCGAGAAGAGGAAGAACATTTGTGAAGACAAGCGGGAATATAATTAGAATTTTAGAATATAATTTAAAAACATAATATATTTAATTATTGAATTAATAGTGAGTGTTAACTTTAAATAAAATTCACTATGTATCTAATGTACTTATTAGTTCTCAAATCAAATGCAACTAGTAATTATTGTAAAAATTTTAGAATCTCTTTCAAAAAAATTTATGACATAAAGTTCAACTTATTTTTTTATCTCACCTGATATTTATATTATATATATTATCACTTTGCAGTCTTATTATTAAAATTAATTCTCTATCGTATAATAGGTACGGATAATAATTTTACATTTGTCTAAATTAAATTGGATGTCATTTTTTTAATAACTTTGTTTACAATGCATAAGATGACTATAAAATAAACTGAGTAAAAGTGGCGAACTAGCTATCTTTTTTTGTTTAAAAATAGTTCTTTTTCTCTATGATATCTAACAATTAGGAAAAACTCGCGCTTAAAGATACGGTGAAACGTAAGTGAGAAGTGATGGATTTAGACGAAAAATTCAATTTGAATAATTTTGAGAGAGATGTTGGTAGCCGTTGGATAAATCTATGAGATCGTCGAATAGACTTATTGAAGTCTGCCTTTTTTTATATTATGAATGTCTCATTTATTTTAGTACTACTCAACTTGTATAAATTCATATTTTTGTAAACGTTTAGAAAAAAAAATTATTTTACTAGTCTAGGTAATTTTCAATTATATTTCTCTTTTATCTTAAACAAATAGTATGTATCATTATATTTTATCTCCGTATTTGACTTCGATTAAAAAAAATGTAAAATTTGAATTTATATGTTATATCTCAAAAGGAAAAACAAATAATTTGTAAATAAACATAGTTTAATAAATACTTAATATTACTATTATTACTGAATAAATACTTATAAGACCTCATATAACATTTTTGCCTATGGCCTTAAACTAGGTTGGGCCGCCCTGGTCACTCCATTCGAACCAGGACTCTAAACATTAAAGAATTGATATGAATTTTTATAAATATTAGATAAACTTAAGTCAAAAGTATATTTTTTTCTCGTGTTATTTAATTACTTAACTATAGAGTTTTTATTGACTTGATTATTGAAATATATCCAATCAATCAAACCCTAATTTGTGACCGAGTGTTCATTTTACAGGGGTAGGTGCACCCAATTTGCTTGACCAATTATTCAATTGTCAAAACAATTATTATTTTATTCATTATAAAGTGGTACGAAACTTTTTCCTTACACAAGAATCACTCTTTTTGTACTCTTCTTTGTTCCATCCTTCACATAGTGTCATGGTGAGACGTGGTGGAATTAAAAAGGAGAAATTGTGATGAATGATTTTATTATTGCAAGATCGGTTGGTCTTTGTGATACCTAAAGTCAAGGATTTAAAGCATTGGCTGACCTTGTCTAACTCGTGCCTCACATGCAACAAACCGTGATTTCTTTGATTTTCATGCGCGTGAGGTGAGACGTGGTTTTTTTTTTCTCCTTCGTCTTTTACTCTTTCTTTTTTTTTTTTTCAGACGTATGATTCAACTTTATTTAATATTTCCTCCGTTTCTAAATATCTGTCGTTTTACACATTTTTTTTGTTTCATAATGTCTGTCGTTTTATAAAATCAAAACATAATAAATATTTTTTTTTCAAATTTATACTTATCTCTATTTTTCAATAAGTGCTTAATAGATTAAGTGTAAGTTAAGTGTCTTTCATATTTCTTTCCTTCCCAATACATATTGAATAAGAATATTTTAATTATATGTAATTATTTTTTATTCATATTAGAGTTATTTAATAACTTCTTTAATTTCTGTATAAAAACTATTAACGATAGATATTTATTCAAATCAACTTTTCAACTCACATCCTTGTACGCCCTCTTATTCTGGTACGCATACAACTGGCAACCAAAGATGACATGCAATTTTTTAATTGAATCTTTTTAGTATGAGCAATGATACGGGGATATAATTAAAAAATATAATTTGAATACATAATAAATTTTCATTAATGATATAATAATAAATTCATTAATACTATAATAAGACACATCATTAAATATATTTTATTATCATTTTATTGATGACAATTCATTATATTTGTAAATTATGTCCTAATAGTATTAATATTTTATTATATATAGTAAAAGTAATAGTAATAGTAATACTAATAGTTGGATTATTAATGTCTCTTTGCCCATGCTAAAGCTGCATTCCTATTTTGCTCCTTCTAACAACATTTTTCGCAATATTAGTAAATTTCAACGTCTTCTTTTCTTCATGCTCTCTTTTTCATTTTGACCACAGACAAGAAATTCTATAAACAAAATTAGATTTTTTTTTTTTTTGCGTTAATATTTAAGTCTACAAATACTTGTTTGGTTAAAGAACTATTGGAGTCATGTAAATACTAAAATCTTTTTTGTCAGTCCCCTTTTCACTACTATTTTGTCATATTAGACATAGACCATCTTAAAAATTTTATATAACTTTGCAGATTACTTTTTTTAAGATTACTATTTTTACATTACTTCTTTCACATAATTTAGCAGATTAATTTTAGCCGACATGAGGGTGGTTCACTAACTTTGGCCTAACCCAGCATTTGTGTGTAGCGGATGCTACAAAATTTTTGTTATGCTTTTTCATGACATTCTTCATTTGTAGGTAATTTAATTAATTTTTTCTCATGATAATTAGTAATTGAGTGTTATTGTAACGTTTGGCAATCAATCATAATAATTGAGGCTATATTTTTCAACCTCTTATTTTGGATTTTACAACTACACCATCTCACCTCAGGCCCCCCCCCCTCCCATATAGAGAAAATATTCAATGTAATGGGTGACACTTCGTCATCACCGCTACGTGGTATCACTATTTAATTAGAGCATTACAAGTGATTAAAGTAAATCTTACTAATTTTATGTGTTAATAATTAGATATGGTATTTACTGATAGTTATGAAAATAACGGGTTCACTTTAATTACTTGTTGTATTGAATATTTTGTCCTCGAGATAGGCATTGTGTCCCACACTTATAGCTTCGAGAGCGTGGTGTTAACATGTAAGATTAAAGAGTTTAATTTGTTCGTTTTCCAATGACTAGCTAGGTATAGTTTGTGGAGCCTAACGATGTAGTAAGCTTGAATATGTGGCCCGGAAGGTAATCTCTTAGTATGTATATGTATATTATTAATAGGCTCACTAGAAAGAAGATAACACTATAAAGATCCAACAATATTCAAAATAACTTGGATAAGCTTAAATAATAGACAAACTTGAATGAAATATATTCTATCTTTTATCTTATTATTTTTTAATCGTATAAAAATAATTGAATTTCAGGTATACAATTATAAAATAATAGGTGGATGATGCATGTGCTTGTCTTTTGATTTTTGATTTTGATTTTTCTCATAACTTGAAGAATCTACGAATAAGTGTTATCAAAAGTGATTTTCCTAATGAAGATGTGAACCATGCTTACAATTGGCTTCATGCAAGATGTTGATCAACTCACATTCATTGCTGCGTGTAAGATCTTGGTCCAAGTATCTTATTATTATATGTGCAGGTGCATGCCTCGTTCGTGTAAATTAGCTGATAGATATAATTTATTTATTGCTCATGATATGGTTGTGGGGTGGGCGGTCCAAATTGTAGTCTGTCTCCTATCCATCTCCTCCGACCTTGATTGTTATTGTTGGTTGTATTGTATGTATGTATGTATAAATTAGTAATTAATAATAATAATAATAATAATAAAATTTGTTTACCGTCGCAAGGTAATTATTTGCCGTTTCAATTGTCGGCCCATACATACATACTGGGGTGAGCTGGGAGTCTACGCTCTTCAAAATCATTTATTATCTTCCATTTTGGCGGGGCGGTGCAATCAGGGTACCGCGGACGGCTAACTTTTTTAGTCTCATAATCTTATAGTATTAAGAAATGAGATACACTTCATAACATCCAATGTTTTTAAATCAATCAACACGTGTAAGATAAAAATAATCCAGTGAAATGGTTGTGGCCTAATACTAGTAAAATAATAATAATAATGGAGAGAAGAAACAGGAAACGTACACGTGATATTCCTCTAATCTATCAACGTCAACTTGCGTATTCCGTGCAAATAATAATAGGCATGTTGTTCGTCGTCCTGTTCCGTGTGAGCAACCCCACAATCAAATACAATTATGAAGCGAGGCAGAGGAGGAAGGGAGGGAAGGTAATAATTATCGTTGAAAAGACCATATTGGTAGGCCTTGCCGTGTCTATTATTGCTCATGTGGCATCTCTATCTATTTTATTTTATATATATAAATAAGAAATAGATAAAGTCAGTCTTATTCCTTCCTCTCTATATATTGGTTTATGAAGGCCTTTGGTTTTTTCTCTCTGAACCCATATAGAACCCAAAAAGCAACCAAGTCGATTCGCTTCTTAATTTTCACCCATTGATATTTTTGATACATAAACTGCCAGAGGACAGACAGTTTTGAGAGAGAGAGAGAGAGAGAGAGAGAGAGAGAGGGGGTTTTACATTCATTTACATTTACATTTACATTTACACGGCTCCCGCACGCACATAGAGTGATCAGATCAGATCAGATCAGATATAAGTGGTTTTTTGGTTGTGATATGGTATTGGACCTATTGGTACTAGGTGGGAAGAAGGCGGAAGAGGAGATAGCAAAGAAGGGAATGCAACTGGGGAAGTACGAGATCGGAAGGACTCTGGGCGAAGGCAATTTCGGAAAGGTCAAATACGCCAAGAACCTGGGAACAGGCCAACCCTTTGCTGTTAAGATCCTGGAGAAGAACCGAATCATCGACCTCAAGATCACCGATCAGGTAGCCTCCCCTCCCCCCCAACCTCTCTTCAATTTTCGTCCTCTCGTTTGGGCTTTTTGAGGGTTTTGTTTTTGGCTTATTTGAAAATCAACTTTCTGCTCAGGTTTTAAATATGGAAATTAAGATTTTTGATCTATCTTTCGGATGCAACTTGCAATTAACCCTTAAATTTAACAAACGGCATACCCACTTTGTTTGTCTCTTGCGTTGCGTCTTTGTTTTTTAAGACAAAACTGTCGCGGTGGTGATTTAGTACTGGGCACGGGTAGCGTCCTTCTATCTGCCATTTTCTTTGTTAAACTCCTCTTTCGTTGCCATTTTCCCTAGTAAATTGCTTAGGATTGTTTCATATTTTTGAACTCGAAAAAGTATGTATAGCTCACAAAATTAGGACTTTGAATTGGAGCTGGCAGATAAAGAGGGAGATTGGCACCTTGAAGCTCCTCAAGCATCCAAACGTGGTCAGATTACAAGAGGTATGTATTGTATTTGTATCTTGTTTCTTCGGCCGCGCGCAATCAACGCCTTAAGCATCATGATCCTTTCCTTTGTTAACGACTTTTTTCGACCATTATTTTTATCCATTTTGCTTTAATAAGAACCCAGGGCTGGCTCATCACAAAAAGATACTATTTGTCTACATTTTGAGGACCCAATATTTGAGATTTAATACATTTTTTTATTGTTTGATTTGATTTGATTTGAATGATGGTTGATCTCTTCCGCTATTAAATTCAGTACTGATCCGATAATAACAATAATAACGTATACAATCCCAAATTAAAGTTGTCCTCTTTTTCTTTTTCATTTTTTTTTTTTTTTGGGTGGGGGTATGTCGGTTGTGCTCCTTATTCTTTGCTTCAAGTAACCTAACCAGAATCAGTTCTGACTTCTGAAACATTCATTGGCCAGCCACCTAAGCTACGTTTTCTGTAAAAATAAAAAAGATTATATTATCATTATTGGAATGCTGTACTTAGTAGTTAACCTGATGCATGTGCCCGTGGGGCCCAGGTAAGCTTGATGAATGAAATGCCCCAAATGCCCAACAATCTCAAGATTGCACATGTGGCGCTGCTTTATCAACTTTTGTGTAGAATGACTGTTGGATATGGTTGAACACTCATTTGACGTTAATAATGGCCAATTTTAGGTCCAATTAAGACTGGGACCATGTTAAAGTCTTTATTATGATGTAGTCAAACTCTAACATTAACATATAGCAACACCAACAACACGTACACTTGTTCATGCCTATATGGCTCATTGCATGGTGCAATGAGACCCATAACAAAGTATTTGACAATCATCATTATCGTCATCTTAAACTCCAGTTCATAGGAAATTATATGTATTGTAAATATATCTGCTAATGTTGGTCTGATCGTGCATTTCTTTTTCAATGAATGTGTAGGTCCTAGCAAGCAAAACAAAGATTTACATGGTCCTTGAATTCGTGAATGGTGGTGAATTGTTTGACAGAATTGTAAGGAGCTATTGCCATGGATAATTTTAATTGGGCTTCTAGTTCTAGTGCTTTGGACTCAATCTCATATCTACCATTCCTCCTAATGCTATTTTACAGGCATCCAAAGGAAAACTCGCGGAGGCTGACGGCAGGAAGCTCTTCCAACAGTTAATTGATGGAGTCAGTTACTGTCACAGCAGAGGCGTTTTTCACCGGGATCTCAAGGTTATCTTCAGCCCATTAGAATCATTCTATAATTCTTGAAGAAGTCGAACCCAAAATTTAGTTGATGATATCTTCGGAAGTCAAAAGCAAACTCATCTATGATGAACTACCAGACCATGATACATGCATTTATATACTTAACAAAAACTTTTTGACTTCCATTCTCCTAAAATGCTTCTGTTTTCAAACTCAGCTAGAGAACGTTCTGGTTGATGCAAAAGGAAACATAAAGATATCTGATTTTGGACTCAGTGCGTTGCCCGAACATTTTAGGGTATGTCAGCTAAATTACCAACCCTCTTTGGCAATTTTTTTTAATTCTCTTAGACACTCATTTCTGTGATGAAATTAGGCTGACGGGTTACTGCATACTACCTGTGGAAGTCCCAACTATGTTGCACCTGAGATTCTCTCTAACAGAGGATATGATGGTGCCACTTCAGATACGTGGTCTTGTGGTGTCATCTTGTATGTGATTCTCACAGGATATCTACCATTCGATGATAGAAATCTTGCAGTGCTCTATCAGAAGGTATAGGAAATTTTTTTTCTATGTTTTCCATTTGCTTAGGCCTCTAATGAAAGATGTTTGTAATTCGAAACTCATGAGGTCTCAATCTTTATCTTTGTGAGGGAATTCAGATTTTCAAGGGGGATGCTCAGATACCCAAATGGCTGTCCCCAGGAGCACGAAACCTAATAAAGAGGATTCTTGATCCCAACCCTCATACTCGGATAGCAATGGCAGATATCAAAGCAGATGAATGGTTCAAACAAGACTATATTCCTGCAAATGCTGATGATTATGAAGAAGATATATGTATAGACGAAGAAGTCTTGTCAATACGTGAGATGGTACAGACTTGGATACCCTTTTGTTGTTTATGTCGCTCGTGTGTAAATCGGATATTTTGTGCTTAAATTGATGGGTTTGTTGTAGCCATCCGAAGCAGAAAAGGATCCAGAGTCACCCACGCTCATCAATGCATTTCAGCTAATTGGAATGTCTTCATGCCTAGATCTTTCCGGCTTCTTTGAGAAAGAGGTGAGGGTCATAGTGAAAGTACCAATTATTTTAGATCTTACTTTTCCAGAGTACCACTGAGTATGCAAAATAGGAACCTTATGTTTGAGTGAGGGTACCAATTGTTTTGTATATCTTCAGATCTTTTTACTGTATACCACTGAGTTTACAAGCTCCAATTTTGGTTGCATAATATGAACTAAAGTTTGAGTTATATTCCAGGATGTCTCTGAGAGGAAGATCAGATTTACTTCCAATTATTCTCCAAAAGAATTGCTTGAGAGGATTGAAGATATTGTAACACAGATGGGGTTTTGCGTCCAAAAGAAAAATGGAAGGGTTAGTGCTGTCATCACTGATTTGTCCAATGGAAGCCCTAGACTCTTAAATTTATAAGTTTTTCCATAGAAACAGTCCTCATTTTCTCTCTACACACAAGTCTTGGCTGTCCTTTTTTCAATAAAACCCATTTCCTAAATAATTATAACAACTGCGAGAAACACATTTTTATAAATATTATGAATAGGGTTCACAAGCTCTATGCCATCTCAATTATTGATGCCATAACTAGCACTGTATTTTTATAGGGTTTTGTGCTTTTGCCATCAGAATAATGTCTACCTAAGAATTGAGTGTAGGTGACACCCATTTGACCGACGAGCCTTCTTTTTCTTTTAAATATATGTTAGTTGACGCCGAAGTCATGTTTTCTCCTAAAACTGTAGTCTTGAAAGATTTTATGAGTTCTTTTTTTTAATCAAGAAAGATTTTATCAGTTGGTAGTATAGTTTTTGAGCTTCAATTATATAGAATCAAGTCAGCTGCCCAATAATTATACTGATAATTTGGTCCATGTCTGTCCATCTGTTTAGCTGAAAGTGATGCAGGAGCACAAAGGTCAGAAAAACCCAGGTAGTCTATCGGTGGCAGCAGAGGTACGCAATGAACATACCCACATCAAACAAACATCACTTGGACACAATTTGCAGCAGCTTAGCTTCCCTGAATTTTTGTTGGAGACAAAAAACTTCCCTAAAATTAATTATTGAAATCGTGGCAGGTGTTTGAGATAAGCCCATCCTTGTATGTAGTTGAATTAAGAAAATCTTATGGAGATTCTGCAGCATATAGACAGGTTTGCGTGAACACCATCTTCCTCCCCACCACATCTCAGACAATTTAAACACTCAAAACTTTCTGACATTTAAACTTGTGTTATGTGCAGTTGTGTAAAAAACTATCAAATGATCTGGGTGTCTTGCCTAGTCAGGAGTTGTTGGCCACAGAATTTTGAAACTGGGAGCTTCTTGGTTAGAAGAAATCAAACCCCAAGGGTTCAAGATTGGGAGGGAAGTGGATTGCAATCTCAAGGAATCAATTATGTAGATAAATGTCATTCTTTTGTTTCATAACCAATAAAATGACTCTTTATAACTTTCTTTTCTGCTATGAAAAATTCTTTAAATGTTCTGGTAATGTATGCGCTGTTATATACGGATGACTGAATATCAGCTCTGTTGGGTTGCAACATGTCAACAGATGCCTTGCACAGAAGTATATACAGAATCTCGTTAATGTTGTTTAGGTACGCGTAACTGTATGTCTTCTTTTTGGATCTTGAAGTAGTCTTGCACAGGAGGGATGGATGACCAACTAAGTAGGTACTAGGTAGGTGCTGTAGTGTTGGTCATCTCTTGATGACTAATTGAGACCCGGATTTTCTTTATTGTTTCTCTTGATTGCATGTTGGATCGAAAATTCATTGTCTACAAGAATGTAAACAGGCCGATCGTCACAATATTTTGCTGTGTATTTGGGTAACAAGATACATCTTTTGTTCTAGATTATTTTAATTTTCATCAAATTTCACTGTTCACTACAAGGTTTCACTTTCGATTCTTAAAAAATGTTACTTGAAGTCAATTTTAATTTGGTTGCTAGGTCTCTAAAATTTAGTACCATATTGTACAATTTTCTCTTAGATTTACTTGATTCGTGATCTCAGAATGAACAAAAAGCAACCCACACGGGCTGTGTTGTTTTGATTAGTTGTGTTCAAGGTGCACATGATGTGTTGTCCCCTTCGGTCATGGATGGGACTTCCATCAATGATGGATCCCACCAATCATCAGTCCTCCATTTCTCAAGTTTTTTATTTTTGCATGTCTTGCCTACACCCATAGCAAGAATTTTTCGGATTCTGTCTTGCTTTGGCATGCTAAGGCTAAAGGGCATATGGGTTGCCAGCCAAGCACCCTCTCACGGAGCCCACCTCCCCTCCTAATAGTAGCACTATAAACGTAAACCAAAGTGATAACAACGGACAATCATTTGACCAAGGAGTCATAATATTCTATTTATGAAATTGTCACTGCCGCACAAAACATTTTTAAATTGACAAACAAGGCATATGCTCCAAAATGCCCTTCCAATCCTTAGTATTTTAGGTCTTTCATTTCCTCCAATTCATCCACCTTTCGTCTCTCCCAGAAATTCTATCATCATTACAACAACAATCTCAAGCCACCACAACTGCAGTCCTCAAGCAACCATGCCTATGATGTGTTGCCGATTGGCCCAAACACATCATTAATAAGAAATGAAAGACTTGGTTTCAGAAGAGAGATGGAAGGAGGGAAAGCGGTGAAGTGTATACACTACAAGAAAGTTGATATTTAGTGAAAAAACTTACTAGAAAATCAATTTTGTTGGCAGAAGGTTGTTTTACCGCAGAAATTCAAATTTCGTTTACAATAAAATATGCGGACAAATTTCACTGGCAATAAAATTGTCATTGTTACGATTTCATCTGCTAACCCACATAAACACAAAATATATGTCATTGTTAGTGTTAGGAGTCCACGTCAATTAAGTGGGGCATAGATGTGTGTATACAACTCTTGGACGCCCTCTCCTTATAATTTAGTTTTTTAGGAGGAGTTCTATACATTTGTTCATCACAATTAGTATCAGAGTTAGCCACCACATTAAATATGAGATAGGATCTAGTATGGATTACAATTCTATGTGATAGAGTCACAAATGGACAACCTACAAACTAGATTATGATGCTTTGGTATTATGCATGGACATAGTACCAAGTCATCGAATACTGGTAAGTGAGTAAAGTCACAAAAAAAAAGAGACTATTATTAGGTCAAATATCGATAGTATAGAATGCCATGAACCTCCTGTAAAAACAATTATATATTTTAAGCATAGATTTATAATTGGAACATCTCAACAAATATTAGAATTATGATGTGAGCAATATAATCACGAGTGTTGTAATCTAAAATTCGAAATAAAGTATGTAAATAATAGTTAGATCATATAACATGCAATTTAAATAAATAAATACAGAAAATATATAAACATGTAATCTATATAAACTAAATAAATTAATTTGGAATGAGCTGATCTGCGAATCCGAGAGGCGTGTGATCACTGTCCTAAAGCAGCTAAGTCTCCTCACGTGATAGTACTGACGGACACCAGCTACTCCAAGATCCAACCCAGACGCTTGCAGCAGCACCTTCTCAATGATCACGTTTACTGGAAGGTTGAAGTGAACCTGACTCGAATCGAATTGCCCCAAAAATAAAGTAATAGAAGATAATTGAAAAGTATGTCAAGTATGAAAAGAAAAACTATTGGAAGATTCTGGAGTGGATTTTCATTGCACCTAAAAGCTATCTCAAAAACCCTTTATATAATCATTGTCACAGGGTAATTTTCGTTTTTCTTTCGTGGCTACCTGTGAAGGCGTTGCTATTACAACCAACTACATTCAAACTCAAGAATAAGGGACAGAAACTCACACAGAAGGCACACACGAGTTTACTGGGACAAAACTCTCAAACCTTATATATTGAACTCAATAATTTACAAGGACTCTTAAAGCCAGAACACTCTCTCCCTCATCAGAATGTTCAAGCACCCCTATTTATACAAGAGTAAGGCAGATGACACCCCCATTTGCCAAGGGGTAGTTGCACACGTTTTTGCTATTCCATAGCATAGTGGCTAGCAGGCTTGGTCTCCGTGGGACACATGGCAGGCAGTTCCACCACTTTCAGTAACTGCTGTGGAACTGCCCTTCATCAGCATGCATCTAGACTGGATTCAGACTAGGGACGCCCAGAACTGCCTCAGCAACTGCCTTGACTGTCTATCAGCATCAGAACCGCCCACATCCTCCTGGTCACATACATTGAACAGCCATGTGCCAGTCAAGTGCCCACATTCAGCAGTCAGTCTGGCTACACGAACTAATGTGCATGCTGGGTTCAACCCATGCCATGCAATCTGAAGTTATGCACCCACATTGCTTCAATTGAGCCCACCACGTGTTGTCATGCTCAACCGGGTGTTCTCATACTACTTGGTTCGCCCCAATCTGTCGAACCACTTAGCCGCATCACCTTGATTCCAACTTATGGCATGCCTTGGTGCAAGGTGCCACCAAGATCGGTCATTTGCACATAAGTCAGTTAGGGTGTGACAAGCCACCCCCACCTGAAGTATCCAACAACCCCGTTGGAATGGAGGCATGGTATTGCTTGATGAGATCCTCGAACTGCCACAATGTCGTCTCTTTCTCCCAAGTGGCTTCCTCCGGTGTTTTTCCTTTCCGCTTGACTAGGTAATGAGTTCTTCTGTTTTTCTTGCTCATTCCCTCAATCTTGTGGTCAAGGATATCTTTAGCTATTTCTGTGAATTACTTCCTGATTGTTGGAGGAGCTCGACGCCGAACATATCTGTTAGGGTCCTCCGGGTCCTCAATATAAGGCTTCAAGAAGGCAACATGGAAAACTGGATGAATCTTGAGACGACAGGGAAGATCCAGCCTATAGGCCAACCTGTCAATCCTCATTGTTATAAGGAAAGGGTCGTCATAGCGCTGGATTAGTCCCTTGTGTGCCGACTTTCGAGAGATCTTGTTCCAGATTGGTGAGGCCAATTTTAGCATCACTTTGTCACCCACTTCGAACTCTACTGCCCTCCTCTTCTTGTCTGCCCACTTTTTCATCCTCTTCACTGCCTTAGTTAAATAGTCTTTTGCCTCGTCGGTCCGCTCTTGATTGGCCCGAACAAAGTGGTATGCTGCAGGACATCTCCCTTGAGACTTCTGCTTGACAACTTCATGCGGGGTAAGAGGCTGTTGGCCAGTTGCTAACTCAAATGGGCTCATTCCAGTGAAAGAGCTCTGTTGGAGGTTATAACTGAATTGGGCTCCATCAAGTAAATCTACCCAATTGTCTTGGTTCGCTGTGACATAGTGTCTGAGATATTCCTCCAGCATTGCATTAACCTGCTCAGTCTGCCCATCTGTCTGCGGATGATTGTTGGTGGAAAGGTTGAGCTGTGTGCCCAACAATTCAAATAAAGTCGTCCAGAACCGGCCAGTAAACCTAGTGTCCCTGTCGCTGACTATGTCCAGCAGAAGACCCCAAAGCTTCACAATATACTTGAGGAACAACTAAGCAGTAACTTCTGCCGTACATACTTTTGGGGCAGCAATGAAAGTGGCATACTTCAAAAATTGTCTACAACCACAAATATCGAAGTAAAATCGTTCACCTGAGGCAAGCCATTGATGAAGTCCATGGAAACACTCTCCCAAGGTCTGTTTGGAATAGGGAGGGGTTCCAAAGTACCCGTCACCTTCTTTCTTTCTATTTTGTCTTGCTGGTACACCAAACAAGTGCACACATATAGCTCCATATCTGCTTCCATGCGGGGCCAATAATAGCTTTCTGCTACCAAGGCAAGAGTCTGTCGCTGTCCTGAATGTCCTGACCATAGAGCATCATGAGTTTCTTTCAGCAACATCTGTCAAATTTCGCCTGACTTCGGCACATAGGGTCTCCTTCCTTTGGTGTAGAGAACACCATCCTCTACCCAAAATCGCCGAGTCACTCCTTCATGGACCTGCTTCAACAATAAGCTGGTCACTGGATCATTTTTTGTCTGATCCTGAATTCTCTACAGTATGTTTCCTGCAATCTGGCTAAGTGCAGTAACTGTCCCATCAGCAACTGGGATTCGACTAAGAGCATTAGCAACCTGATTTGCACTGCCAAGCTTGTACTGCAACGTGAAATGAAATTGGGCAAGAAATTCATGCCATCTTGCTTGTTTTGGTGTTAGCTTCTTCATGTAATTGAAGCAGCTGGTAGCCACACTATCTGTCAGCACAAGGAAATGCTTCCCCAATAAGTAATGCCTCCATGAATTAATGCAGTAAATGACTGTTGTCATCTCCTTCTCATGTACTGAATACCGCCTCTTGGTATCATTCAGCTTCCTACTTTCAAATGCCACTGGATGCCCATTCTGCACCAGCACCCATCCAAGAGCAAAATTTGATGCGTCTGTATGGACTTCAAAAGGCAAATCAAAGTCAGGTAAGCGTAAAATTGGACTAGACGTCACCACCGCCTTCAATCGATCGAATGCCTTCTGGCATTCGTAGGACCAGTTCCATGTCCTATCCTTCATTAGAAGATCAGTCAGCACCGCGACCTTCTTTGAATAATTCTTCATGAATTTCTAATAATAGTTTGTCAAACCAAGGAAATAACGCAGTTCAGTAACCTTAGTAGGGACAAGCCAATCTGCAATGGCCTCAACTTTCTTCGGGTCCATCTTCACCACGCCTGCAGAAATAATATACCCAATGAATGAAATTTTCTTCTGGGCAAACTCACATTTTTCTGGTTTCAGATACAATTGGGTTTTCCTTAACTTTGTCAAGGCCAACCTAAAATACTCAACATGCTCCTCAAGAGTCTGGCAATAAACAACTATGTC